GTACCATTATTAGAAGGATTTGAACATCATGCCTTTTTATAGAAAATTCGGAAGGAGTTTTCGATAATTCCTATAAAAAAAACAATATCATAATTCTTGATTATATAATAAATACCTCTAGAACTATTTATGGATTCTTATAGGTCATAGATGTAATAATCGATGAAGACAAAACTTTGCAGTTTTATTTTAAATTTTTTAAAGCAATTGTTTTTAAAATTTTTTTTAAAAAAGCGTCATAAGATACTTACAACGTGAAGAGACGAATTTTCATTTATTGTCTTTCGAAGTAGCTTTACGATATCTTTAGCTCCAGCAGCTTCTAATTTCATCGTAGCATTAAGGGAGGTTATTGTGATGTAATAAAAAATCACCTATTCTTATAGGAAGACTTTTGTTAGCAAATACTCCATTTTTTATATTATTGAAGTTGCTCCCTAATGAAGCACTAGACACTGTTATACTTGCATTTGGGTAATTTTTGACTAATACCGCAGTCCACAACGATATAAGTTTTATGAGGGTCATTATCTCGGAAAGGTATCGTAGATTGTCACGATCTCCATGATCTCCTAACGTATTTTTGGCTTCTTTTAGAATATGAGAGCCCCATTGCGCAAATTTATTATCACCTGACTTAGAATCGATGAAACAATCAAAAACATATTAAGGATTCCTCATTGTTATCATTCTCCTTTTCTGATTCATATTCCGAAACAACATTATTGGAAAGAAATACACCGCGACGAATACATGTGCTATAGACGCCTTTATTCAAATAATAACGACAGCCAATATAGGTAGCCCAGTTTACAAATATTATTTAACTCTAACATCCCCTTCTTTAACAAATATAGGGGAGAGTACTCACAAGCACATTTTAAATGCGTGTAAACAACGTGTTAAAATTGTAAACCAATTATTCGAACCAAATATTACCCAATAATATGTACCGTATTGCCGCCGAATCGAGTATATATTCACTTATTAACAAAATTATATCAGTCGAAATGTTTGAAAACACGACGGAAGAAAGTGTCGTGTGTTCTAAGTAGTCATGTTAAAATATACTTTACAAAACTGGCATTTTATCTTTTTCTATTGAACATATATAGCTCATATAGCTAATTTAGAATCAATGGTTATTGTATTTAACCTCCTATAGTTAGAGGGATGTGTAATGCAAAGATTTCAAATATTACGTGCAAATGTAAATTATATTCTATTTTACTTTAAATCGATATAATATATTACTGGTAATCACATTAAAAACGGGGCAATAAATACCCTTTAATTGATCTAAAGACCTTACCTAATTATATAAAAATATATCAAATTATTTAGACCTTTAGAGGTGTAATCGCTTATGAAGGCAATGAGCAAAATGATCCTAATATTTTAGGTCATCATATCTCTTATTGCTTACCTCTCAATAATGTATGGGAAGTTTTTAATAATTTAAAAGTTAAAAAATTTTAATATACCAAAAAAATTCGACCACACAAATTAATTTGAAACATCGTTAGGAAGAGAAAAAGATTCTCTATCGTTGTGCGTTAAGAAATTTAAAAAAATAATAATTTTCAGTGTTTTTATTTTTGGCGCCATATTTTTAACGGTCATTAGCTGGTAAACGGTAATGATACAAATCGATTTGAAATGGTACAAATCATTCTTTATCGACCTATACACTTTTTATTTTTAAATTCAAAAGTTGAGGGGCTGTCGTGAAGTTGCCCCCCCCCCCCCCAATTTTGTTCTTTGAATATCTCAAAAACGGTGATGGTACAAATCGAACTGAAAACGGTACAAATTAGTCCAACTGATAAACCATTGAAGGGGCCAACTTCACCGATTGTATTTTTATAAAAAGCCATTATCATGTTTATTACATGATGCAATAAGAAATTATATATATATAGCGACGAAATATATTTTTTAAAGAGATATTTATTTACTTTTTAAATTTTAATAAAGCTATTCATTCGAAAATAAAACAACTATACTCAAGTAACTCTCAACAATAGTTAAACTGATTCTTGCCTAAATATATTTAACACTCTTCTTTAATATGTTCTTTATTTTTTTTGCCATATATTAAATTACTCCAATAAGTACAATTAATATCAATCCTAAATAACTATTATTATACTCAATAAATTTATTAGGCTTTTATTGTCTGTTTCTGTATGGTTAAACATAATGTATAAATTTTTTTAAAAAAATTCAATTTTTGCTTAATTTTTATAGCAGTTCTTTTCCAATTGGTATTTATATATTAATTTTTATATAGTATAACTTTTATATTTATGATGTTTACTTTAATTCAAAAGTAATAATATTATTAATAAAATCTAATTAATTAGATTTTATTAAAAATATTATTACTTTTTAGTTACAGTATGCATCATAAATATATAAGGGTGATTACTGTCATAATTATTGTTATACAAAAAAGTACATTTTAAAAAACAAAAATTTTTTTAAACATAGTTTATTTTATACTTTGAATTTTACTTTTTAAAATTTTTATATCGTAAGGTGCTTTCGTGTACTTACGACTTATTGGGTTGTAAATTGCGTGCTTATTAGATATTTACCAATTAACTATTTATTCCCTTATTTATTTCGGGGACTTCTTTAATTTTTACAATTGATCTATAATCCGACTTTATTACCTTTAGTTTGTGCGGTTATTTTTTCCACCTTCAACTATTCCGTTCCTCATATATGTGAACAGAATATGAATATAAACTGACAATTCTTCAAACTGTTGGCAGATGAATAAATAGATATAGTGGGCTGTCCAGGTAGCGCACAATCAGGAGAGCAATATCGATACGTTTGAGTATCATGCACAGACCAGAGATATCTCAGATATCCGGGTTGGAATTACATTTTGAATGAGCAAGAAAATGCATAATTATATCGATATATCGGTGCCAATCTCTGAAAGATTACACCATCTATATTAGTAAATGTATAACGAAATTGACAACTACTTCTTGATAATCTGTAAAATATTATAAATGCTCTACTAAAAAAATGCATCATAATATTGCTGGACAATCTAAACATTAATGTTAGAAAGATATTTATAATAGAGATAACGTCGTTGGAAATGCAATCCCTGTAAACTGAATGAGTAGGATAATAGAAAATGATAAGAAATTTGTTGCGACCAAAATTTTAAGATTTCGTATATACTTATTTTTCTCATAGTGAAGGCAATACTTTTACTTTTATAGGAGTAAATAAGTTTACAAATAGACATCTTCACCCTGAATATTTATGGGCGGTTTAAGGATGTTAGCATGACTAATATTAACATCCGATCTTATAATGGTTAAAGCCATTATTGTGGTAACAAATATGTGGGGAATCTCGAACAGGAACGAATAGCATTTTCAAATCAGTCCGCAAACATGTTTAGGAGACAAAATCTTAATAATTTACAATAACCTGGGATTAAATTTCTCTAATAAAAAAATGAGCCAAAAAGAGGATAGTTTTGTAAACGTATCCGGGCCGAAATCAGTAGATCTGAGCGCTGCTTAAAGGAGATTTATTTGAGACAACAATCTAGATTATATAATTACAAAAATCTTCAAATGGGCATTTGAAAATTTTTAAAAAATTTTGTATCAACCATGAATTTATGCATAAAATCACAAAAGATATACTTTATAAAAAAATATATTTCCAAAATTTAGAATTTTGGGCGAGCCCCCTAGATCCCCCTTTGACTGTTATATGACAAACCAGATGAGAAAATATAATAGAAATTGACACTGTAGCTCTACCTACTACCTACCGAGAAGGGTTTAACTCTGTTAGCGGCTTCTCGATTGATCAAAATCTTCATTTTACTATGATCTTCAGAGATGAAAAATCTTTGAAGATTTTGAGCAGTTTGTCAAGCACTGAATATAAGGAATTCGATACGACACGATTTAACAGCTGATCGATTTTTTAAAATCTGTCTATGAGATCATTTTTATTTATAAAAAATCAATGTTTCTTAGATTATTAATCTTGAATAGAATTAAAGATAAAATTAACATTAATAAAGAAAAATTTGATCTCATATAAAAAAGATTTTAAAAATCGATCAGCTGTTAAATCGTGTTGGATCGGATCCCAATGTGAATCCGGCCTAACACTCTACCAATTTATATATAAAGAACATGAAAATATTCAATTACAGCAATTTAAAAAAAAAATTTAAGTGAAGATGGTCCATTTTCAGATTTTTTAAAATGAATGCGCACAAATTGAACGTTTCAACGCAGCGTTAAACGCAAATAAACAATACGTAAACGCAGCTAAGTCTAAATTGAACAGTTAATTTTATTTTTTTAATATGAAATGTCTATATTTAAAACAAAAAATAAATGCTGTCCAATTTAAACTAATGCATTTAAAATGCATTATTTGCGTTTTGAAACGCTCCTTCCTTCCTTCCTTCCTTCCTTCCTTCCTTCCTTCCTTCCTTCCTTCCTTCCTTCTGCAACGTTCAATTTGTGCTCACTATTATATCACATTCTTTAAACGTAACAATATTATTGTTTATCTTATTTTTTATATATCATGGATATTAAGAAATCCCTCTTATTTTTATGAGTATTTGTTTTAGCGATTTACAACCATTTACCCTTTTTAAAAAAAATTGTAATCTTAATTCTTTCTTTAAAGGAATTTTAATCGAAATTTGTCTATCCAAATTTATATCTATACATAGGTCATTAAGCCCCGCCGAACCTAAATATGTTATTTTAATAGATATAATAACGATTCATTTAATAATTCTTGTATGATGTAAAAAACATAATATTTTATTATTTTCAGATTATTATAGTATATAACGTTTTAATTTGAATTTAATGAGAATCAATTAGAGTAAAGTTTTTAAATTGAAATGTATATTTTATTAAATTTGATTTCACAGTTTAAAAAAAAGCCAAATTACATTTTTTTTAAAAATAAAATAAAATAAAAAGCTCAAAAAATTGAGCCGTTGGGAGATAATAGACGTCGTCAGAACTCTGAGTACTCAGCAAGCTTTACTGGGGGATGATACAGTAACGAAATTTGCCCGAGGAAGTAAATTTAGTGCCACCGAACACCAAGAAAAATTTAAGGAAGAATGTCAAAGGATTTTCGATCTTCAAAATAGGTTTATATATGTAACCTTTATATTAAAAAAAATTAATTTTTTTAACCCTTAGAATGGCACAACGGAACGGAGGCAAAATAATACGATCTTAATTTAGGTGCCAGATGTTTTAAAATATAAAGATATTCTTTACTCACATTGTTTATATTTTTGTGATTACAATTCAGTTAAAACTTTATACCACCTCAGTATCTCGCATCCATATGCTTATATTTTAAAACATTCTTTTTCCTATGTTGACCCAAACATTAATAGACAACACAAAAAAGGCTCTTTGTTTTTTTTTCAGTTGTGGGATCAAAGCCTAACACTACATTCATAGTTGGCGCCAATTCACAGCGAATTATACAAAATACTTTCCATTTTTGTATTCTCCACTGCGATTTCGCGCTAACTTAAATCCAGGGTAACTGTTAATAGGTATTAACCGTTATATTTACGAAACATAAATCGAACCTGAACCATTAAAAAAAATTTGTCACCCGAACCTGAACTGCTTTAAAGGTACGAAAATCCGGTTGAACTTTTTGATATCCTTACTCTAATATTGATTTATTAATAATGATCATTTTTAAATTTGAAAATTTTGGAGATCGAAAAAAAAAATCTGAAAATATGGATAAAAAATTAACAAAAACAAGATGCCTTTTTTAACGTATGATTGAATTAAAATATAAAAAAAAAATCGGGAAGAAAGCTTAAAAAATCGTGAGTGAGCGTGAATTAATAAGATGCCGTATTTTGGTGTAAACTAAAGTAAAAAAAATCGGGAAGTTACGCCAAAAGCGGGAGATCTCGCAACCCTGACCATAACCAATTATAATATAAAAGGTATCGAATTAAGATAAAATATTTCAAGAGTTCATTGCTTCAAAATACATTGTTTTAATAAAAATATGATTTATCAAATTTATTACACCAAAATAAATTTTTCAAATAGCATTTTCGCAAATTGTGAATAAATATATGTAATAATTTTTTTTTCTTTCATTAACACACTCAAATGCTGATTCAGAACGTTTAGAGAAAATATCAATTACATTTTTAGAAGCTTGAAATAATTATCAATCATAATTTTAATTTATACCTTGTAAAGTTTATCTAGGAATATGTAACAAAAAATTTAACAAAATCTTAAAAACGGATGAAAATAAAAATATGTACTAAATTTATTAAAAAACATCATTTTTAAAAAAATTAAATTCTCCCCTTTATGTTTGAATGAATTTGGCAATTCTGATTCAGATTTTTTTTTTACTAAACTTCCTGAAAAATTTTCAAGATGTCTGATACAAACTTGGGTTTGCAAATACCATCAGATGATATATTTATTATTTTTTTCTTTTATTACTTCACATCTTTTTAAATAACCCCTTTCCAGTTATACCCGCAGCTTGCTTTTCTAATGGGTTGGCGCGATTTAATCGAATTGATTTAAATCATGATTAAAATCGCTAGATATTTATTAGTCGATTTAATTTAAAGGTTATTAACACGGCTAATTCGATGAATCAAAAAAAAGAGAATTTAACATCTTAAATATCTTCTGCTTTTTTTTTTTTAAAAAAAAGAGTCTTATCTTCGAACGAAATTTTATCCTCCGACGATGGCAGTTCCACTGAGGACTCCGATTTCGAGGAAATGGGTAAAAATATCGAAAACATGCTGGCCAATCATAAATCAAAAAAATTACAAAGTTCGACCTCCAACGGTGACCGATTCGATTCATCTCGAAAGGATAGCGCTAAAATTAAGAAGGAAAAGGACGCCAGGAAAGAAGCCAAAAAAAGTAATATACTCTACCTCTTTCTAAAAAAATTTTAAAAGGACCTCTAACAAGGTCTGCGCAGTCCGCCCTCAGACTGGAAGTTTAATATTGAAAGTTTAGAATTAGGCGATTACGGGCTAGACAAGTAGGCATTTTTACCAAGCGGACCGATCTACTTAATTTTTTTTCAGGTCTGATATGGGCTAGGGTTATTCGATATGAGATCCCTAGATTTAGATTAATACGCCCAGTCATCATTTAAAAAATATATTATTTCGTGGTTTTAGAGTTGTTTCCTCCGGACCAATCGGTGAGGGGCGGACCCTCGGTCATCATTTTTAATAAAGCAATTGCCATAGTTTTGGAGGAGCTTGTACTCTCCACCCCTAGTTTTAAAATATTTGATTATAATTTTTAAATCTAACGTGTATTTGTGTGAAATGTTTTATTAAAATTAATTATTTGAATTGAATAATTTTACCCCAAGCTCACTCTGTAACTGTCTTACCTCATGCCCTACCAAACGAGGAGTTACATAGTATTCCTTTTATAAAACCCCACATTTTTAATTTAGTTATATATTTTTTATTAACGTTGTTTATTGAAGTAAATCAGTAAATTACAGCAGATAAGAATGGTACAATACTTAACTTATTCGTTAAAATGTAGTTTGAAACTTTGTTGAATACAAATCAACCTGTGACATGCCATTTTAGTTTCCCATATAAAATTTTTTTATACTTAATTATAAAAGTTTTTCTTAAAATTTTAATGGAAATTATTTTTAGGAAAAACCAAAATGATGTGTCAGCAGTTGATTTTTATGGATATACACTTAAATGAATTGAATGAATCATCAGTGTCTAGGTAGCAATTGGCCATTAATAAATGATTGAAGACAACAACATTTTATTGGCATCATCTATTTAATATAAAATTTTATGATGATCTAATCTAATTTGTATTATTTATAATTAACTAACACAGATAAACATCTACATCATATAGCGGATAGAAAGCTTAGAATCACTCGCACGTTTCGCAACCCAGAAGGTTCCACTCAGTGCAAAATCGCCGCATTTGAGTCGATTTTTAAAAACGGCTAACTTAGTATTTTATTTAGAAAAATATCATGCAACCCTTTATATTATACCCGTAGATGGCTCAATGGTTTGGACATTTATTAGCGAAATTTCGAGGCTCGGGCAATATTTTTCTGGCTAAAATATTAAGTTGGTCGTTTTTAAAAATCGACTCAAATGGAGCGATTTTACATCTCCCACACTGATAATTTTTTTTTTTTAAACAATTGATTAATCATAGACAATTTGAATTTATTTGTTTTTCTATATTATATTTCGCTTATATCGCACCAATGCTTTGAATTTAAACATTAATTCTGTATATTGTTAAACGCCAAAAGGGAAAAACGAAAAATAAAAGAACATAAGTTATTAAATCAAAGAATTTTTTTTGCTTTGCATAGTTAATGAAAAATTTTCGCGTTTTTAGGTAAAGAATTCATCCGAATCGAAACAGTCAGAAATCCAGGCGTTATCGAGGCTTACCTGCGTATCAGGGAAAGCAAGGATCCCGAACTGTTGGCCTATTTTTCTAGGTTAATATAAAAATTTGTATATTTAATATATCGTAACTTATTTTAAACTAATCCCACTATAAATTGATACGTTTGCTTTCGATTAATTTTTTTTCCAGTAAATTGTCGATTTAAAAAGAATATAACAAAGTTCATTTTACAGCCAGCCTGTCCCAAATTTTGATATTCATAGGGTCCCAAGTAGGCGGATCCTAGACGGATCCCCAAAATTTCGCAACCTTAATCAGGCTTAGTCGGGCCCGGGCATCGTCTTTTACAAAATTATTATTTTTTAAATCATATGACTTCGTATATTTATTTCACCCCCCCCCCCCACCACCACCCACATCAATCAACTTTTAAAGACCGGATGAAAGCAAGAAGCAGGAAATGTTGAAAGAAAAGCGTCGAATAGTCGATCAACTTAAACGACTTAGGGCCAAGGAAGAAAGGTAATTTTTTAAAAAAAAAAAATCCAAAAAAGAAAAAAAAAATGGTTTTCAGTTTATCTCAGATTTTGAGAAGGGTTCTGGTTTATGACAATAAATCGAATCATCTGAAAACGAATCACACAACATTGTATGTAAATATTATATTACTCGCACTTTTGTTGGATCGGTTCCGGAAACGGTTCCTGAAAATTTTAAAATGGCTTTCGTCTCTAAAGGGTTATAACGACATTTCTAACCACTTAAAATCCTTCCGCCATGCACTTGAAGACGGAGTGGTGTTACATTTATGAATAACAACTTTATATTGACCCTTAAGTCTTAAGTGTTTAGGTATTTTTTGAAAGATATGACAAACATTTTATCGTCAGTCTGGACCGGACCTACTCTGTAGGTATTAACATATACAACATTTTAGAGTATTATAATTTAATATTTAATTTGAAATAACATCTAACGAAAAGGCAGAGGCAGAGGATGATGCTGGACAACGACAATAATGCCAATGACCAAAACACTATTCTGGAGGGATTTACCAAGGGCAAGGATAAAGGCGGCAAGAAATATTACGTCAAAGGTCAACGCTCACTCCTCGGGAAGAAAAGTTACCTCGGGTCCAAGGGCGATATGAAGTTTCGCAAAAGTTTTGAAGGCGATTCGACCGATTACAACAAAACGCTCGAAAGAAAAGTTAAGGTGGAAAGTGGGCAAGCGGAAACGGACGCGGGTGGCGATAAGAACCCGATGGGGGAAGACGGTTCCGGCGATTCCAGCCAAAGGGTAGCCTTTTTATGTTGAATTTTTTTTATTACATATATTTTATATTAAATATTTATGTAAATGATTTGCAATACAACGTTCCTCTAGGTGAAATGTGGGGCCTGCGGTAGTACCGGTCACATGAAAACGAATAGACTGTGCCCACTATACGAGAAGTCGGGTAAAGCTAGCATACCCGTAGCCATGACCTGGGAAGAACAGGAGAGTTTCGAGAAGAAGTTTCCAGCTGGGGACGAAGTCAGGGATCTGGTCAACGTCGAGGGAACTAAAATTATCTTATCCAAGACCATTATTGAACAGTTTTGATTTGACGATATAATTTTTTTTTCCCTCACCCCCTCCCTATAAATATTACTCCGTTAAGTGATTAATTTGATTACTTTTGATTCGTAATTTCTTATTTTTTAGCCATTTTCGCAAACATGGCCCCGTGAATCAATATCGGGTTTTCTTTAATTATTTGATCTTAATTAAAGCTCAATTTAGTAGATTTATAACCGCGCATGACAAAAGCATTTATATTACCTATATTTTTTGATTACAATTATAATATCAATTTCCGGTTTTCTATCCACATTTAAAAATATTGATTTCCGGCTTTCTATCCACATTTAAAAATATCGATTTCCTGTTATTTATAATCCCCATTCATCTATATTTTAACAGCTACGACAACGTTCGCAAAAAGTCTCTCATTCTCAAATTTCCCAAAAAAAGACCTTTCACGCCTCCGCACCTCGACGCGGATAAAAAATTGGCCAAAAAATTGAAACGCGAAAAAATGAGTCACGATAAAAGTTTGCATCAAACAAATTTATAAAATAAAAATAATCCCCTTTTCATTTTTATTTATATCAGCGACGTGTAAGCCGTCAAAATTTTAAGCTACTCCTGGATTTGTATATTGATCATTTAAGCAGTTTTTTTTTTGCAAATTGAAAGAGAATTTATAAACACATGAGCAGTAAATAAGTGCTGTTAAACGGCTCGATTTGTCAATTTTTAAAAAAGGGCTGCCTACCCTTCGAGATTTCACTAATAGATGTCCTAACCTCTATGCCATCTATGAGCAAAATCTTTAGTCTTGCGTTATATTTTTCTCGGTAAAATATTGATAAAGCCGTTTTTTAGAAAAAATCGGCTCAAAACGAACCGTTTTACAACACTATCAGTAAATGATTATTAAATGGTTCATTCTATACGATTTTCCCGCTTATAAATTTTTTTTGGACCGAATTTTTATTAAGTGGGAGAAAGAATATGATGAAATAAAATATTTAAATCGAGTTTGATAGAACATTTTTATAAAAATTTATATTATTATATAGAAAATCGATGATAATACAATTACATTTTGTATATCTTGTTTAAATGTGTTATCAAGTGCTTCGATCGAGATAATTGTTGAAAAAGTGTTTATAAGATTTATGGAAATATATTAACAATTATTGATAGATCATAACAAATCTTAAAAATGGAAATTATGTTTATTGGGAGAGGGGGTGGCGACTTATAGCTTATGAATTTATATGATAAATATTTTTTTTATTCGTTGTTCATTTCATTTCATTTCAATTGAAATTTTTATGTTTAATCTTAGAATTTATAGGTCGCTAGGACAGAAATATTTTTTGATAATAATTATCTATTTCAACAATTACCTTGTAATAAAAATCATTTTTGAAAGTTGAGAATGGCTCTAGTTTAAGCTGGATTCATATTGGGATCCGATGCCACTTAACAGCTGATCGATCTTTAAAATCTGTTTATGAGATTAATTTTTTTTCTCTTTATAATAATCCAAGAATCTTTGATTTTATGAAAAATCGATCCCATTTTATAAGATTTAAAATAAAATCAATCAGCTGTTAAATCGTGTTGTACCGAATTTTACTATGAATTCAAAATGAAACGATACTTTAATAAGTGAATTACTATTTAGGAAAAGTAGCATTTGCATACTCAAAAAAAATTAAAAACATGAATAAAGGAAATATCTTTTTTACTGAAAGATTAAGTTATTAAAATAAAATTAATGCCCCAATATGCAAATTAAATATATTATATCAAAAAAAATTTTTTTTCATAAAAATGAAATTATCACCAAAGGGTCTGGCACAATCGGCAAAAAATCAACGCCTACCGATGGTTCTCATATAAAGAAATATAATAAAAGCGTAGCCCATCACCTCGCCGCCTCCGCCAAATATCGTCGGGAAAAGAAACTGATGACTTCCGGCAAGAGTTCTTCCGGTAAAAAGTATCACCATCATAACATCGGCCATACAAGAGGTAAATAATTATAGCTTTTTTAAAAAAAAAATTTAAGCAAAAAATGTCTTGATTCTTATGAATGAATGATAAAAAAGTTACAGAAATTGAAATTTAAATAACATTTCAAAAACATTCTACCCGACTTTTTAAAAAAAAACAGAACATACGCCATTAATATTTTAGATATGAGAGATTTGCGTGCCGATGCCGTTATTTTGTGTTTATTAAAAAAATATATAGGTACCACTCTTGTAATGATAAAAACCTTAAAAATTTCTTCCCTAACAATGTCTATTGCGAAGTTTCCCTCTATTTACTATCATTTAAAGTATTCTTCATAATTGCATTAGTTGATATGACAACATATAATTTTCCTTCATTAAATATATCTACTGCTTTTTGAATTCGATCCGATATAAGATCGAAATTGTCTTGAGGAAGTGATAAATTAGCTTGCGAAGTCTAAAAAAAATACTTAATTATTACTTTAATAAATTAATTTTTTTTTGGTAAAACAGGCTTTGAAGATTTTATTGATATATTGGTAGGATATATTTGTTAACGTAGAAGATATATTTAATGAATCATGGAGAGTACTTTAGATAAATGTAAATAACAGGCCCGATTCTAGCTTCACCCATTTGGGCAGGGGGGAGGGCAGATAAAAATTTTGGAGGGACAGTTAAAAAAAATTTTCTAGAACGAATATGTTATTTGAACACAAAATTGAAATATACGATTTTATTTTATTTGAAATATACCAAATATAAAAATTTACAAAAAAATATAATTATGATAAAATATGTTTATAAAAATAGAGGGAAAATGAGAATTGATAGTTGGGAAGAAATAAGTTGATTTAAATGATATAACAAATATTATATAATAACTTTGATATAGTTTAATTGGCTATAATACATGTTAAGGAGTTAATTATAAAATATATGTAATTAAGAAAATATTGGTAACTATATTACAATTTGATCGCAGCTTATTTGATAGAACATTTGGAAATGCATTTTTGTATGGGTATAGAAACTTGACAAAATCTGACGTAACTCATTTATAATTTTCTAAATTTTGCAAATCATTTTTTTAACAATCTGAATTTCATTTACTAATCCCTCTTAAATAATATTGTTTTCCAATAAAGGTTTTAATTTTTTTTCTATATCTAGAAAAATAAAAAGGTTATCTTGATTTAAATTTTAAAAAAATTTATTTTTATTAGTACAAAAAAAATTGAAAAAAATCTTTTAGTCTTAGGATCCTTTTCTTCTATGTATTCTGCAATTATAATCTTTTTCAAGGCCCATTTAAAGAACTTTTTTCTAGTTGGTAAACGTTTTGATATAGTTTGATTCACCATTGTTTAAGTTATAGAAGGAAGGCAAAAAATCTGCATCAGCTTCAATTTTATTATTCAACCTATTATGTATAAACTTTAAAGAAAATCTTCTTCCATTAGTTGGGTTGATTTTTAAAAACGGGATTAAGATTTTATCTAAGCCTCGTCACGTGGCAAATAGATGTCCGAACATTTCTGCCATGTATGAGCAAAATCTCCAGGCGACCATAATATTATTTTGGTTATGATTTAACCGGCCGTTTTTTAAAATCGACCCGTTACCAACAGTAGACGTTGGCCTATTTGGTAAAACCTGATTTAAATCAATCGTAAAATATTTGTAATAAAATTGACTAATTTGTTTTTGCAAGCTCAGGCTCATTCCTTATTCTGAATGGCACCATGATTATTTTCACCTTCATCCACCAAATTATCCATTTACATTTTCTCCTTGTTCTTCATTACAATATGGGATGCGGTTGACGTTATTAGGTATTTCAGCAGAACTGAATGATTAATTTTTTTTAAACCGATAGTGGTTTGAACAGCATTTATTTCTCTCCCATTCTATCATTTTTAAAAAACATAAAAAAATATTTTCCATGAATCAAAAGAATTTTTATTCGGGGATGGGGGCAGGTGCAAAATTGGGGGGATGGGTCCTTATAATAAAATTGATGTCATCTAAAAGTTTTCGAATATATAATCTTTTTGTTTTATATACCGTCGATATAAATAGTGGTTGAAAATATATAAGCATATTTTAATTAAATTTTTGAATATATATATGGTAGGCAGACCTCCTTTGAGTCATTCTGGCAAATTCATACACAGGAAGAACAAGATGCTTGCCCACGCTCAACATTCTAGGGTTTCTATGAGTGGCGCAGGCGATTTAGCTTCCGGAAGCAAAAGTACATATTTTTTTTTTAACTCTCTCTTCCCTCTTAAATTGCTTTTAATTCACATTTTTTTCACAATACCTATTACTTTATAGCTCATGGTATCGAAGATTCCAATCCGCACCCGCAACTCGAGGACTACCTTAAAAAGCCGCACCAAACCAATAAGAGACGGCCTACCGACCCCGTCGTTACGCTTTCTTCCCTCCTGGAAAGGGTACTAAACGAAATGAGGGAATTGCCTGACACTCAACCTTTCATCCATCCCGTCAATGTTAAGGTGGTACCGGATTATTATCAGGTTTTTTTAAAAAAAATATAAATTAAATATAAAGATTGGGTAATTTTTTTTCAAAAAAGTTATGAATAATAGTTAAGGCAGATGATCTTGAGAAGCAAAATGGATAACCTCCTTTTTTCTACTTTTAGATTTATTTCGGTAGTAAATGCGGCTTTAATTGGGGTCCTGCATTTATCTAACATATTTTTTTTCAAGCGGTTTGATAAAAAGAATTAAAGGATCGGGTCCGACATTTTGTTTTATGGATTATTTAAAAAAGTAACGTTATAATAGAGACCGGCCCTGGTTGAATTGGAATTCTGACCGGCGAGTTTTCGGTCAGACTCGGACCGGTCCATACGCTTTCTAGTTTTAGTAGAGTAATAAAATGAAGGATTATAAAAGGAACCGCTAATTCTCTGAGGTATTTTTTCTTTCTTGTATCTATCCTTCAACAAAATCGTTTTTTATATACCAATTATTTTAATGCGACTAACTTATTTGGTTATTTTTTTTAATCCAAAAAGTTCGTAGAAAAACCGATGGACCTTCAAACCATGCGTGCCAAATTGCACAAGCGCAAATACAGGTCGAGGGAAGACTTTTTGGCGGACACCACCCAAATTGTGGAAAATAGCAGAATTTATAATGGGCTAAATCACCCCATCACTCGCACGGCAGAAAATATGCTAGAGTTGTGCGTTACCAGGTTTCTTTCATATTGAATAATATATTTTGTTATTAGTTAGTTTGAAAAAAAGAGAATATGTATGATAAATTTCAGAGACCTGCAGATACGGCCCCAACCTTGGCTCATAAATCTGAATATACCAGGGCGTGTAATGTTTTAAAAATACTCTGATCAAAATATACTCCAATATTTAGTGATATTGACGTTTATGACTGACGTGCATATATTAAATATTATATTTTTTAGTGATATTAACGTTTATGACTGACATATAAATATGAAATATAATAAATTTAGTGATATTGGCATTTATAACTGACGTATGAATAATAAATATTATTTTTTCTATATCCTATGATACTTAAGGCAATTTTGCCTTATTCTCTTTAGAAAATATTAGATTTAATATTAAGTGTTAAAAATTTATATATTTATTTAAGGTTTAATTCGAAAATCTATATCCTATGATATTTAAGGTAATTTTGCCTTATAATCTTTAGATTTAATATTAACTGTTAAAAATTTATATATTTATTTAAGGTTTAATTCGAAAATATCAAAGATTAACATATAAATCTTGCACTATCTATTATCACGTTACTGCTCAAAGTTAGAAACAATTTTCAGAATAATTTATTAAAATCCTTTATTTAATTTGTAAATATAAAGATCAAAAAAATCAATTAATAATATATGCGATATAAATAATATATGCGATATAAATAATATATGCGATATAAATAATATATGCGATATAAATAATATATGCGATATAAATATTAATTAAAATTAATTATGCGATCAAAATGTTCGCTATGATTTATTAAATAAATATTTACATTAAATTTTTTAATATTGCTTAATTTTTTAATGGGCATATAGTATGCCCATTTATAAATAGTATGTATTAAAATATTTGTCTGGAGCATAGTTGCCATTGCAACTATCTCCACCTCTGTACCATAAACGGCATTTTGAGCCATGCCCGTCCTCTCCAGGTACGCGTCAACGGGTTCTCCCAGAAACCCCTCCATCTGCTCTGCCACGTCTTTACTTTTCATAAAGCGCACACATTTGATCTCAAGAAGTGATAGTGGCATTCATCCTCGCAAATTTCTTTGCTTATACATCTATAATAATTATTAACAATTCAATTTATTTTAATTATCCATACCTGAAAAGACAATTACCATCGCCAATTATCCTTTCAGAAAAGTAAAGACGTGGCAGAGCAGATGGAGGGGTTTCTGGGAGAATCCGTTGACGCGTACCTGGAGAAGACGGGCATGGCTCAAAATGCCGTTTATGGTACAGAGGTGGAGATAGTTGCAATGGCAACTATGCTCCAGACAAATATTTTAATACATACTATTTATAAATGGGCATACTATATGCCCATTTAAAAATTAAGTAATATTAAAAAATTTAATGTAAATATTTATTTAATAAATCATAGCGAACATTTTGATCGCATAATTAATTTTAATTATTATTTATATCGCATATATTATTAATTGATTTTTTTGATCTTTATATTTACAAATTAAATAAAGGATTTTAATAAATTATTCTGAAAATTGTTTCTAACTTTGAGCAGTAATGTGATAATAGATAGTGCAAGATTTATATGTTAATCTTTGATATTTTCGAATTCAACCTTAAATAAATATATAAATTTTTAACAGTTAATATTAAATCTAAAGATTATAAGGCAAAAATACCTTAAATATCATAGGATATAGATTTTCGAATTAAACCTTTCTCATATACCCCACCAGAGTATTGAAGGGTTTATATTGTAAGAAATGCAATTTCTTCATTAAAAATTTTATTTTAAATAACTAAACTTCTTTTATATTTTTTTATATATTATCCCCTGACTTTGGTAGCAATTACTCTCCCTACTTTCTTAATCTTATCAGTTTGTATTTTATTTAATGTTTTCTAGAAATTTCCTCACAAAATTAAAAATTATAGTAACTTAACTCTTATTATAATTTGTCAATTGTAACATATTACCCCCTTGTGAGTCTTTTCTCCTTGGTAATTATTACCTTCTGGAAGACATCTTTCTTTTGGAAACCATTTCTATTGGGTAATCTCTAGAATTCATTAAATTAACTTGTACTGTCCCAATCTAAAAAATAAAAATGTGATTAATGAAAATATATTACTTTCATGATGATAAAAATGTGATTAATGAAAATATATTACTTTCAGGATGTAAATCTTTAAATTGCAGTAGTTCTAAAAATAATGTTTCTTGATTGACATGAACACTTTTTCAAAAAAATATCATTATAAAAATTACATTGATCTAAATATACTCTGATATGTAAATACATTATAATCGAACAATATAATCTGAAAATACTCCACAAATAAGCTTAAAGGAGTATATAAAAAAATGGAGTATTTTTAAAACGTTACACCGGGCCAAAAATTTCAAACCAGGCAGTATATTAAACCTTAAAAATAATAAAATGGGCCGGGCCAAAATTTGTTTTTTAAAAAAATGGGCCAGGCCAAAATTGGTTTTTAAAAGAAATTCAGGCCGGGCCGTGTAAATGGTACCTCTGCAGGTCTCATATAAATTTAATCATTTGTTGTAAACCTCTCACTTTTAATTGTAACGGATATTAGTGCGATTTGTATCGATTTTTGAAAACGCTCCTATTAATTTTAGTCAAGCTGATATTCTGTATGGCTGGAGATTTGGAAAATAGACGTCAAAACATTTTTACCATCTTCGAGCTAAATCCCGCATGATATCATTTTAGTACCAAAATCTTAGTCGGGCCTTTTTTTAAAAATCGACACAAAATCGGAGTTTTTAAAACAACACTAACATTTACAATAGTTAATAAATACACCATTTATTAAATTTAAGAATTGAAACATTTATATAAACCGAATGTGAGTGTTGTTGAACTCAGTATTTTATCAAGAAAAATAGCCTAAGGATTTTTGCTCATAGATGGCCCAAAGGTTAAGACATTTATTAGCCAAATCTCGATGCTTACGCAATCCAATCTATTTCTTCTTTTTTTATCGAGTTCGCCATTTTAAAAAAAATCGGTTGAGAGCGCGTTTAAACAACGCTAATATAAAAAGGAATATATCGAAAAGAATGGTTAAAAAGAAAATAAGAGGGAAGGGTTTATCTCCTTTAGTTCAACATATCGATCGCTAAAATAAAGACTAAAAAAAATATAGTACGAATTCGTTTACCAACCACCAATATATTTAATACATTTTTGTTATAAAAATAAAAAAGATTGGCCGAGAAAGATGAACGATTCATGAAACTCGAAAGATGCATTAACCCTCTACTAGACGAAGATGACCAGGTGGCCATTTCCTTCATTTTCGAAACCGTCGTCAAACAAAAGTTATTAAACGCATTTTATGCTAGAACCTAATTTTTTTTTTTATTGGGAAGAGAAAAGGTTGCAATTAAAGTGAATAACTTCAGGCTTATTTTTATATGATATATTATTAGCCACTAGGTATTTTCTCCGGCAATATGTAATTTTTTTAAATGAATTTGTCGGTAATATATGTTAATGTGTTATTTTTTTTCAACTTTAAATCATTTTTTGTGCACGTTTTTTAAAAGAAAAAAAATCTAATTTTGCAGAATGTATTCCATCATGTTTGGAATACCTACCCTATGAATTTCAGATAATTTTATCGTCACAAACTTTTGAACCAAATATAATTTATATTAGTTTTTGCATAGATTTTGATGTTAACGGTAAATTTATATACAATTCATATGACGCTCACATCATATATATAATATACAAATGCTCAAAGAGGCATGGGCAAAATTATCTGCGGCTAGATTAAATTTCAGACAAAGGGATATTTTTTTTTAACACGTACAATAAATGATTTAAAGTTGGTGAAGAATAATATGTTCATTAAAAACGACAATTATGGATATAAATGTCAGTTTTGCCGATCATCCTAATTTAAATCAGAAATCTGTGGGATAAGGAATTTTAAGTCATTTTATGATTGCTTTCTAACAAAAGTGATTCAAATTAGATTAGCATGCTAAATTTGATGCAAATTTACATATCGCATTCAATTCGATCGGCGATTGTTTATATAATTTACTTGTAATTTATACGAATCGAATATTTGATTCGTTTCGAATAATTTTAATCAGATAGTAACAAATAATTTATTCGAAATTATTTTTAATTTTACCAATTATGGCCTCGGAGTTCGGCATACTTGTGGACCCGCTTAGATCGAACTCAATTTTTAAAATAAATTTTGAATCTGGACCCATACAGAAATCTATTTCTGAATTAAACTAGTACCAACCAGGTATGCCTTCCGTAGTTTACATCAATACCCCTTCCCCTCACCTCCCAAACTTACAATTATTATTATTAATTAAAGACGTACAATAACAATACTACTTATTGATATTTATTCAAAAAAAAAATAAAACGTCAGGCTTCTGAGCGTCGTAGAGTTTTGGCCATTTCACAACCCCGTTAACCCGAAGGTGCTCAAAGATTATCATAGTAAAGTAAGCAGACCGGTAGATCTCAATACCATAGCTAAACGGGCGAAAATGCACGCCTACAGGACTAAGGAAGATTTTTTGGCCGACGTTAAACTCATCGCTGGTAAGGATCTAGGGAGATTATAAATTAATGCGCATATGTTTATATAGATTAGAACAACATTTTTTATTAAATTGGGTGAGAAAATACAATGAACATATGACTATTACAGTTCTAACTTTAATCACTTCATTTATATTATCCATTTTTAGCTTTTTTTGATCCTACAGTGTGCCCTTTAAGGAAATATAGTGACTTTCTCAAAAAAAGAACATTTTAATGCAAATTAGATGACCAGAAAACACTTTTTTAAGTCACCTTGGAAAACAGACCCATGACCAGGAGACTTCAGTTGATGGGCGGAGTTTATTTTGGGGCCAATATATATTGGGAGATTATTTTTCTTTATAAGTCATTAGAAACAAATTTGGAGTCCAAAAATTTAGTACCAAGAAGATTTTTTTGGGAGTGGGAGATAGGGCTGGCCCCAGTGGTTATGTGCTGCTTAAAAAACATTGATAAAATAATGTTTTATTGGACACCAAATTGGCGTTTCGTCAGCTGATTTGTATTCAACGACGCTTCCAAGGGCATTTTTAATAAAAAATCATCGGGCACTAAAATGGCGTGCAACTGATTTGTTCAACGACTTCTTCCAAATTCATTTTTAATAAATAAATCGACACCTTAGTTAAGTATTATATGTCATTGAATTAAATATAACAGGGCAGGGGGATATATAATTTATTTCAACAAGCATACTTCCAATATTTTATACATTTCGTTTTTCATTTCTATTAACCAAAAAATAATAAGCTAACAGCGCGATATATAACGGCCCCGATAGCCCTTACACAGAACTGGCTCACAAAATTTATTCTGTCTGCCAGGAGGCGCTGATTGGTTACGAAAATAACATCAACGAGCTCGAAAAGGCGATGACCCTCTCCGAGAGACATTCTATCGACGAATCCGTAGATTTCCCTGGAACCTCAAAAAATGCGAATCTCATGGGGGAAAGGAGCTCTGACTTTTATAAAGATGGCGACGAGAGTGCCGACGCGTCTATGAATCCAGAATACTTTGGTACACAAGAAAAAAAATTCCTCATTTTTGTTGGCATAAAAAAATTGTTTATAGTGTGCTTTATCGTTAATTTTACAAAAAATATGTTTTTTTTGAAAAATCTAAACAAATTATTCCGAGCTAGGCTAATTGAATTCGTAAATGATTGACACCTTTCAATATTACATTTATATTTTCCAATTTCTTAGATTCAAATCAAGATTCAAGCTCATTAACATTCCAATCCACAGCATTCCAAACTAATCCGTTATCGTTGCTCGATTCTCTTAACAGCGATTCCCAGAATATGGCTTCACAAGATAAGGAACCGATGGACGAGGAAGGGGATTTTTATGAAGCCGAATACGTATCAGAAAAAATTGGGGAGGATGATATGACCGTAAGGAAAATAAAAATTTTATATATATAAAATTACATTTTTTTATCCATTCAGAGCTAGTCGAGGTTGCTGAAATTTTCAGAGATTCTTTGGCAATTTTTGATAATATAGGATATATATTTTGTTGTAATTTCCACCATTTAAGGAGATTTGCATCTTTGGAAATGGGTTCATCAATATATTTACTTATTTCAACTAAGTTATTATTATCATGACTATAATGACTTGTTATATTTTCTCAATATAAGGTTAATTTTTTTGATTTACTTTTTGTTTCATCTTCAGATAAAGTGAAATTATTATTTATTTTTTATTTGTGTAACAAGTGACGAGAACAGCAACAAGAAATAGGAAATATTGTTTTAACCCAATACCAATATTTTGTTAATCGTGACGAGAACAGCAACAGAAATAGGAAATATTGTTTTAATACCATATTTTGTTAATCTTAAGTTTTTAATATTGGTGGATTTTTTTAAAACGGCTAACTCAATATTTTAGCTAGAAAAATTTTGCCTAAGCCTCGAGATTTAGCTAATTGATGCCTAGACCTTTATGACATCTATGAGCAAAATCTTCAGGTTTGCGCAATATTATTCTGGATAAAATATTGAATTAGTCGTTTTTTAAAAATCCGCTCAAATCGAGCCGTTTAACAACACTAGTTTTCAGTCCTAATAGAATGAAAATGATAAATTTATTTGTTTATTGTAAAAATAAAGTAATGATTGTTTTTACGAATCATCAATATATTAACGTCAATGTGTTTTTTTCCGGAATGTATTATTTTTTTTTTCAGTTATAAATCATTTTTTGAGCGCGTATTTTTTAAATTTAAAAATCTAATTTTTACCGGAAATATATTCCCGCATGCTTAGAATACCTATCATATGAATTATTTAGCCGCTAATCTTTTAATCATTTATAATTTATATTTAAAAAAAATCTGTGGAAACACTAATATAAATTATATTAAGTTCAAAGGTTAAATGGCGAAATTGTCTGATATTTATAGGGTAGGTGTTCCAAACATGATAAAATATATTTCAAGTAAAAAAAAATAACAAATTGACTATAAAATATATGATCTGTACTTTTAAAACCTAAGAGTGATTTGCAAATTTTTAAGGGCTAAAAAAAATTTGCAAAGCCCCAGAAAAAAACAATACAATTTATTACACATTTAAATAGTTTTATTTTATTTGAAATTTATTTATCTCTGCCTTTAAGATGACAATGCCTTCTCGGACTGTTACAGATTTGGAGGACGATTTGGAAATAACCCCGGATAACTCCTCTATAAGTGAATTCGAAAATGATAGCGATGAAAACAATCAAAATTCGTTCTTTTAAAAAACCAAGGCGATTTTTATTACGATTTTTGCGTTCAAATCAAATGTTCTCGCATAAATTTCTTATTTATTATTGTATTTTACGGCCTGTTATGTGTGTATGAATTTTTATTATGTATTTTTGTACATTATATTTATATATAGAAAAAATAACATAAAATATTATATAAAAATTTGTTGGTAAAATATTTTATGCGAATATTTTGCAATAGATATCACTAGTAGAAGAAATGCGGCATTTAATTTTCTAAACTTTTAAGAAATTATCAAAAATCATTTGAGTAATCTTTTGCCAGCAGGATATCTTGGTATCCCAGTGATAATGTAATCAGATTGATAAATAAGCGATTATCAATCATGGAAATTTACTGAACTGAACTGTCAATTATAAAATTAATTAGCAATTTGTGAGCTAATTTTTGAGAAACATCTGGTTCTAGGATTAATCTACTTCGTTTGAATTGATATTAAACCAAAATTATTTTCTAAATTTAAGACAGTAGATAATAATTTTATTAAAAATATTTAAATGATATCTCTAGATGTTTTTTGGGTAGGTTGAATCTGCTCGATTTATTGAACAGTATTATTCCTTCGCTATTTTATGTATCTAAATTTGAGGGGAAAAGGTTAAATTCCAGAATATCATTTTTTTAATGTTATCACGTGGTTTTATCATCTTTTTCGAAATTGCCTTCTCATGTCTATCTCTATTTGGCCATATTATTTAAAATTACTTGATAAATTTAGATTTATAATTTTATTAAAGAAAATTTTGAAATCAATTTTTTTTTTATAAAATAAGTATCGTACTTATTTTAGAACTCTGCACGACAGATAGCAGGTTATATATTAAATAAGATCATTTATAAAATAGACTTAGCCAAGGGTGGGGGGAGGGTCAAGGGAAAATTCTTATTCCTTCAGAAATATGTATTTGTTAATATCATTTTAGGCTAACAGAAAATTTAGACTCTCCAAAGTTTTTAGGAGGGTTGAGTCTGTGTGTCTCCCTAGCGACACTTGGATTTATCCTATCGCCCTTTGTTTTTTTTACCTGATTAAAAACTCATCCGATGCTTCATTCCCTTTCATTAAATTTCTAATAGTTATTTTTAATTCATTTTCTTTACCCATTTAAAAATTAATTTTTCATAAATTGTTTTTATGTTAAAAATGAAATATCGGAACAAATAAAGAATGTGAAGTTAATTTTAAAAAAAAATTAAAATTATAATTTAAAAAAAAACAAAAAAATTAAAATCAGTGAAATATTAATGTTCGATTTTAATTATTAGCACGAACCAAATAATTTAAAATAATATTCTGCCATTTGAATAATTGTATTATTCGTAATATTCCCACATCGTAAACTTTTTATATATTATGTATGGTTATAAGTCCCAATTAGGTTGCGCTGCCCCCTAAATAAACTTTGGTACCGTGGGAAAAGCAACTGTCATCAAATACTCTAATAGATAAACTTTAATATGGTCTAAAAATGCCTTTACATATAAACAAGAATGTCACAATGATGTAAATATTGAGAATAGATTTCATCTAAATAATATTTTTTTTAAAGCTCATTTCAAAATTTTAACAATTCAATCCTAAATTATGCAAATATTACATAATTATAATATATATATATTTATATCTTGGGTGAAATTTTTTTTATACCTAGATATATTTATAAAATATCTTAACTTTATTATGTATGATATTAATTGGGCGAGTCTTCTAAAGACCGTGTCAAAGACTTAGAGATAGTTGTCTTGCAGTTGATTTTTTTTTTCAATTTGGAGCTTAAAAACTTAATTTCTTACATTAAAACTTCCGCAAATAACTTTAAAATCATTCTTTAAACATGAATTATAAGAAGCGCTATCTCTGAATATTAATTGTATTTGGCCATTAGGATAATGTAATATAAAGTTTGAATTTTTTTTAAGTAAATAAACTTACATCATGAAGATCTTCTATACCTATCAGCCAAATATATTTAAAAACGAAATAGTTTTCTACTTCTCTCCATCTTTAAAATTTCCGAATTTTAACTAGCAATAATAACTTTACTAACGGTTTCATGTGACAACAACGATTTTATAAAAACTATTCCCTTTGGATTTTGATATAACGTAAAGTCTCAGCTTTCCTTTTCTACGTTTGCTTCTTAAAATAGCTTTCTCTGACCATTTTATCACCCCAAAGAAATTTCCGTAATTTTCATTTTTAAAATTACTGTTTTATATTTGATCCCCTATACGCTAATATTTATTATCTCTAATGCTTGTTTTATTATATGGATCATATTTATTGCCAAGTTTATTATTTTCATTTTTTATCATTTTTATTATAAATAAAGGTAAATTAATCAAAACTTGATTTTCATAGGCAAAAGCATTTTTTTAATTAAATATATTTTAAAATGATATTCTAAATGCTAAAAAAGCATATACAAAATAAATGAATCTGATAAAAGAAAATCACAACTTATTATGATTAAAAAATAATGAATTTTATAATCCGCCTCATAATCGATATTTTATCGCTGCCTCGTGGGCGAAGCCACTAGATTTTATAGTCCACGCTAAATATAAACTATATACTAGAGATCTGCAAAGTTAGGCCCGGCACGTATCCGGCCAGAGTCCGGCCCGTATTTAAACTAATCAGGTTCGAACCGGGCCGGGCCCAATATTTTTGAAAAAAAAGGGGCTGGTCGCGTCGGACCTTGGAATTTTTTTTAAATATATCTAAATTTATCAATTTTATATTGGATTTTTAATGTAAAATAAAAATATTTGATTTTATTCATTGAAAAACGACATATAACATATGTCTTTTATTTTGAGTAATTATAAAAATTAATTTCGATATTTAAATAAATTCGGGCAGGATCGGGTGGGTAAATTTTTTTAAAAAAATTTCGGGTCGGGCCGGTAAAACTTTATAAAAAAATTTCGGATTCTCCGGGCCGGGCTTGAAAAATTAGGCCCGATGCAGATCACTACTATATACACAAAAAATCCGACTTTGGATTAATTATAACTTTATTTGGATAAACCAGTTGATTTGCACTAGAGGTCTTCAATGGGTGGGTTTTTAGCCAAAAATCCCGACCAACCGCTCACTTAGCTCACTTATAATTAAATTTTATAAAATTTACCCGCCCGCCCACACATTTATCTATAAATTTTATTTAACCCACCCGTTCGCCTAATGTTTAAAAATTATTTTAATGGCTGGTTTGGCTCTTAATTTTACTTATTTATAAATGTATTTTTAATTAAACATATTATAATAATATGCAATGTTATGTGAAATAAAACTATTATTTTTAATTAATTGAAGTCATTTCTGCTCATTTCGCTTGAAAAATTATCAAAAATATACCCAACCACGCCCACCCATTACTATAAAAATTTTTCAATCCGCCCGCCACCCGCTTGATATTGAAAATAAACCGACCATTGATCGGGAGTGATCGGGCGGACAAGGACCGACGGACAAAAAATCCGCCCAATGCAAACCTCTAATTTGCACACAATGCAAAGGAAATTAATTATGCTAACTGATTTGATTTTAATCGTCTTGAATAATCACTAAAAAAAGAGATTGATCTTTGGAACGAAAATTATATTTTTAATTATTTATAAACAACGACAAATGTTAAAAAAAATTTTTGACAATATTGATTTCAATATATATTTAAAAAGCCAAAATAACATTTTAAACAAATTTTAAAAATAGTTTTATTTTGAATTCGATTACTTAGGATATTTTTAAAGAAACAAAAATGAATTTTAAAACTTTATTCTTTGCTTGTTTTGCTATATTAATGATATTTCAATATGGGAAATCTGGTAAAAAAAATTTTATTATTCAAAAATATTAGATTTGATTAAATTTAATAATTATTTAATTAGTATAATAAAATTGTAAGATCGATTAAGAAAATTTTTTATATGGAAGAAGAAATTATTATTGATAAGGTAGGGGAAAAGTATAGGGGAGACCGCAGCTGGGATGGCTGGTGATTTTCTTTGCGATAAAAATTTTATTTAATTCAAAGCTAAAAATTTATAATATGATACTCTTATCCATTTACACAATAAACCTCTGAGATCTCTAGCCATAATAATTTAGGAGCTAATTCCTCTATCAGATTCCAAGAGTAAAACGTTAAACTTATAAATATTAAATATTATGAAATTAAAAAATGATTTTAAATAATTAGAAGTCATAAAATCTTTGGTTTGAAGCAGTTATTTGCAAAATCAGTTTATGCGCCATATTATGACAAATGGAACTATTGAAGTTCTGACATGCAATCAGTAGCGTAGCCATGATTTAACCATGGGGAAGGGGGGGGGTTGAAACTTTTTCGGGCCATCCGCCCCCCAAACATTTTTCTATATTATTGATTCTTTCGTGGTTATATTAGTTGGCTGAAAAATTTGAAGTACTAATTCTAAAAATATGCCATGTTTTGAGCTTTAGTTTGACTTTAGCCAGTAAGTAGCCAGCATATGAAAAAATTATTAGTGACAAAAAGTTGGCCAGCCTTAAAATTTTATCAATGGTTAGTGCTCAATTGTATGTTGATTTAATTCAATAGGTGGACATTAAAAAAAAATGGCATTATGGTTAGCCAAAAATTTTGAAAAATTTTAAAACCTATATTAACATTATGAAGGACTTTATTGGAAAGTTTTTATTGATTTACTTTCTTTCGAAGATGTTTTAATGGGAGAAAGAATTATTGGTAAAAAATACAAAATAATCAAATTTAACATCATAACAGTTAAAACTATCTGATTTGCGTTATATTTATTCTTTAATCAAATTCGCCAGCCACAAAAATAGTAGCCGCCTTAGCCTAAAGTTACCCAAGGATATGGAAGAATCTCTAATATATATATGTCGACAATTAGTGGTTATTTCATACTTTTTATTGCTTCAACCCGTTTGGTAGTTAGTTTATTAAGAAAAACATTATTGGAAAAATGAAATAAATTGCCAAAATTGACATGATGCTAGAAGGAAAATTATAGAAGTATGTAAGACATGATTAATACTCTTTAATTCATCAATCAATTCTTCTCATCAAAATAAAAAGTAATTATAGGTTAAATAAAACCTAAACCGCGCCTTCGGCTGAGTCTTAAATATTGAATTTTATCATTAGAATTCACATATCAATTAAGTCTAAATACATTAAGGTTTTTTCCGCGATTCAAAATATTTTTTTATCTTTATGACTCTACAATCTGTGTAGATGTTGCTTATTAAACACAGTTTATTTAATAGATATTTAACAATGTAAATTATATTAAAAATTTATGTTTTAAAATAATAAATTAGGAGGTTGGGAGGGGACCCGCCCCCACCCTGTCTCTACGTTACTGCATGTCATTCAATTGATTTTCATTCTTTTTGATTATTTGAAGTTCAATTTTTCGGTTCCGAAATATTTTTATTGGAATTTTAAATTATCAAGGGTTATCAATAATTGTATCTTATTTTACAGTTTTGTTCAATTTAGATTATTTATTATAACATAATAGAAACATCATATTCTATCTAATTTTGGAATCTTCAAGTCAAAGGATTGAAAAGTCTTAATAGCCAATTGTTTTTTTTACCTCACCTATCATCCAGTCCCGATTTCCATACACAGAACTATTAAATATTTATTTGATAAAACCCTTTTTTTGTGAATGCTTAGAATTAGTTACTCGATATTTTCCAGAGACCTGAAGAGTTACCATATGCACTGCCCGGCCCGGCCTGTATTTTAAGGCCCGGTCCGGCCCGGTTTTTTTTTAAAAAAATTTTCAGGCCCGGTCCGGATTTTTGTTTTTTATAGCTAATAATGGCTATTGATATTCACTTTACAAAATTTTATAGTCAAATTTTAAAATCTCTTCTTTTTTTTTACAAATTTTTAGATGATGATTTTTATCAGAGATGTTCGATGAATAAAGGTGGTATAAAATACTTGTTTAAAATATTAAAATATTATTATTATAACTTTAACAAATTTAATTTTTTTTTTTTAAAATAATATCTATTCTATAGACGGCCTATTTTTCAATTGCGTCAGATCAGGTTTATATATTGTACATTTGTTATAATTTTTTTTAATCAATAATTATTATTGTCATTTATTAATTTACAGACAGAACTAAAGGAGTCAACTGCAATGTAAGAAAATCTTCGGGAAATAATACGATTCAAGGATTCCCTAGTACGACTATTTAATATCTAATCTAATTATATACACAAAAATAAGATATACATATAATGTAGTGTTGTTAAACGGCCAACTCAATATTTTATTAGGAAAAATATTATGCAAACCTCAAGATTTTTCTCATAGGTGTGGTACAAAGGTTTGAACATCTATTAATGGACAATTTTTTTCTGGCTAAAATATTGAGGTGACCGTTTTTAAAAATCAGCTAAAATCGAGCTGTGTCACAACACTACTAGTTTCCATATATTTAAGAATAAGAGAAACCAAATTAACAATTAAAAGCTAAATTTAAATGGCTGAGTTTATAATTTTGAAACTATAATATTGACCTTAATTATTTTTCTAAAAGCAAGGACTATTTTATTACCAACCTTTGAAAAAAACCTTAATTTATATTAATTTTTTTCATAATTTTTCCATATTTTTAAAATTGTAAAATGGAATTTCTTCAAAAGTTTACTTTAGAATTGTCTGAAATGTATGGGGTAGGTATTAGACACTAATTATTTTTCTAAAAGCAAGGACTATTTTATTACCAACCTTTGAAAGGAACCTTAATTTATATTAATTTTTTTCATAATTTTTCCATATTTTTAAAATTGTAAAATGGAATTTCTTCAAAAGTTTACTTTAGAATTGTCTGAAATTTATGGGGTAGGTATTAGACACCTATTGGAATGCATTTCCGGCAAAATCAAATTTTAAAGTTTAAAATAACGCGCGCAATTAATGATTCAAAATGCAAAAAATAATAAAATATAAAACAATTATTTTCCATTTTAGCACGATATCTATTTTGGCAATTTTCTTTTTTCTTTATAATGTCAACCAAACGGATTAAAAGAATATACAATTAAGCTCAAAATAAACATTGATAAAATTTACAGAATAAATGGCTTTCAATTTTTTTCCCCATTTATACTGGCGTGGCTACTATACTAATTAAAGTGAGATACTAATAAACAGAGTTGTTAAAGGATCTAGATACAAGTAAATGTGGTATCTATATCTGTATCTAGATAGATTTTTAGTTAAAATATCTGTATCTAGATAGATTTTTAGTTAAAATATATGTATCTAGATATTATTTTAGACGATGTATCTGTATCTAGATCCATTTAAAAAGTATCTTTTAACAACTCTGCTAATAAAGCACAAAACATTGTTATATTATTAGAATTAGGGTTTGTTCGGTCAGCTTTAACGGAAATTGTATTTTAAAAAATTTAAGCCACCTTCCATCTACCATTGGAAAATCTTGACTACGCCACTGAGAGAAAGCCATTATTTTCTTAATCTGTAAGGTTTGGTTTTTTTACCAGGTATCTAAATGTGTATTCATGTATTCTTCCTGGTCAAATTCAAAAAATCTAAATACCTGAACAATTGTTGGATGATTTTTAAAAAAAAAATCAGTATGTTGTTCCTATTTATCAATATATATCTTTTTTGATAATTCTTGTTTATAAACGGCTGCTAACAATATTTTAGCCAGAAAAATATTGCCTAAGCCTCGAGATTTCGATAATATATGTCTAAACCTTTGTTCCTTTTATGAGTAAATCTTTGGGCTTGAGTAATATTTTTCTGGATGATATATTGAGTTAGCCGTTTTTAAAAAAATCGGCTTCAAAACGCGCCGTTTAACCACACTAATTCTTATTTATTAATCATCAATAAACAATCTAAAGTAAAGGACTAAACATAGTCTTGCGAGGGGTTACTATGTTGTAATTCTTTAATTTTTTTTTAAATAAACGGATGGACATAATTCTCTGTAAACAGATTCACGTTTATAAAATATATATTTTTTTAGATTAATTGATAAATTTTTTCAAATTTAAAATTATGGGTGCTATTTATTTTTTTAAAATTGTATTTAACTTATAAAAACCGAAAATGCTATATTTATAATTAGTTATTATTTTAATGCAACTAATAAATCTCTGTATAATGATAAGTTAAACTGATTTTTAATTAATTTAACTTTATTAGAATAGTAATTTAAAATTATACAAACAAGAATAAAATCATCTATAGATAAAGTAACATATATATATATATATATGAATAAAAAAATATCACCGGTTGGATCTGATTGGAGACCAGAAAAGGCGGACCAAAGGCCCCACATAGATGGGGTATGTTAGAGCCTACCTTTAATCACCCACAATTTAAAATTTTTATCTGGCTACCCTGAATATATATATGATTAGTATTTATTTTTATATTTAATTTTAACGAATTTATTATTTTTCAAATTTATATAAAACAGCTATGCAAGAAGCTCTCAAAGCGTTAGGCATGCTTACATGAATATCTTTAATCAAAAATTTTAGAACAATCAAAGAATTATCATTTACATATGGAAAAATTTATTTATTACACTGGTCAACTATTGTATATATTATTTACCATTCTTGATTTTATATAATTATAGGCTAAAAAAAATTAGTTAAATTATTAATAGTATATTCACTCCTCGGCAACTCTCTGAATCTTTCTTAAATTAAGTATCGATAAGGTTTCACAAGGTAAAATAAAGCTTTCGAAGAATCGTCATGCATTAAACCTTCTAATACAACTTTTATCGAGGCATAAAATAGCCAAAATAGAGTTTATTTGGCAAATCCAATGGTGCTTGCTATTTTTTGATCCTCGGATAATGTGACTCTTTAAATTTGAAGGAAATTTATGTGATTCACAATTAACTGACACTCTAACTAATATTTATTTAAGCTCTCTAAAACAAAAATAACTTCTATAGATAATACTATATACATATATCTATTTAATAGGCCTATTCAAAAAATAGAATCGAATAGTAAAATATTCGTTTTGTTCGAGTACTTATATAAATTATTCATATAATTAGTATCATTCAAATCGAATTAGGAATAATTTTATCTAATATTTGAATTATTCGGAATGGTAATTTTTTTAAAAAATTAAATTTAATCAATAGTCATTTCTAATGATGACCAATCAATCTGACAGATGATTAACATGTCTTATAAAAAAGAAAACAATAAGAAAAACTATTTGCCGTAAAAATTGGCTTGTGACATTAGGTAATCTTTAATAGCATATTCTTTATTTATCAAATTAATATAGTAAGCATGATTTCGTTTTTTTTATTTATTATTGTTTTTTAAAAAAAATTTCTTTCCGAAAATAGTATAATGTTATTATTTTATGACTTAATATTTTGTGTTGTTTCTAAGGATGGTTAAGAAATCAATTATTAACTTGAAAACTTTAAATCGACTAACCACAGCAATCTTATTGGTTAATTAATATTATGGCCAGTTCACATTGCATTTCAAAGCTTTTTTCAATTCGAATTGATGTTTTATTCTCCAGATTTATATTGATCAACATGCAGGTCTGGGCTTGAACAGGTGCATTTAAAAATGCAAACCCGGCCGGCCCGATAGTCTATACCTAGGCTTTCAGAAAAATTCCTGCCCCACCTGGATTTGAATCAAGGTGAAGGCTGGTAGTCATTCCTCAAGCAAGCTGCCTCCGAACCACACATGCTATTCAAACGACAACTTCTTTTACATAAGGATAAATAATATTTTATAAAAATCAATCAATAATACAGTACTTTACAAGAATTTAGGAATTTTTTATTAGATGTAGCGGTATTAGTATCGAAAAAATTGATGTATCTCTTGTTTTAAGCTATTAAAAATTATAATGAGTATTTCCTCCCCTCCCCCCTTTCCAAATTCTCTAAGGAAATATGGAAGGATTATTTTTTTAAGTAAAAAATTTATTTTAAAATATATATTAATAAGTAGTTTCATAAGGTTATATCCTAAATCTAAAAGATTTTGAAGGAAAAATTAAGCTATTTTTAATGTATAACTAAAATGGCGTTCTAAATCATTTTTCGTAATTTGCAAAAATTTATTTTTTTTAAAAAAATAATATAGAAATTAAAATTTTTCAAAATTCATTTATTTAGAGCTAATTTTTATGAAAAAAGTAAGTAATATTAAAGTGTGTTATTTTTCGTATTTTATTCCCTCTTTTTTTTTGATTTTTAATTGTTTTTTTGTTTATTTTCGGACCAAATTTTTGAGATTTTCTTCAAAACATTTAGGAGACCGCCTAACTAAAATGATTAGTTCATGAAAATATATGGAACTATATTAAAATAAATATTTTTTAGAAAAGGCAACTGAACAAATTGATAATTAAAAATTACAATCTTCACGATATTTCAATATGAGTGCTTAATTGGGTCTTTAAGGAAAATGATTTGTTATAAAATTGGCAGTGATGATCTTTAATCTTATCATGAACAGCTTTTGAATATACATTCTGTATTTTACGCTAAACGATTTATAGCAATATTCACACAAAAAAATATTAAATATTGATGAACGAAATTTGTTCATATCACCTTTAGAGAAACGTAAGATTTACCGCATAATTCACGAAAATAATTCCTGATCTTGTTATGAACAGCTTTTACATGTAAATACATTTGAGACTTTTGATTAAATGACTTATCGCAATATTCACACCGATAATCCATATTGTGATGGGCGGATTCCACGTGTTTGTTCGCGTCATCTTTTTCCGCGAAGGATTTATAACAAAATTCGCAAAGATAATCTTTAATCCCGTGATGAACAGTCGCGAAATAATTTTCTCAAAATTCGCACAAAAAATCTTTAATTTTAACTATGAAAGGTGGCTATGTCTAGTTGGCAGAACGTTTTAGGAATAGCATAGATTAACTTATAATTTTACTTAAGACAAAATATTCATTTAATATTTAAAAAAAAAAGAATGAATGAATAAAGAAACCGGTTCAATAGAATTGAAAATAAAAATTAGACTTTGTAATAATTTTTTCCCCCAACATAAAGATGACGTTTACCACCCCCCCCCCCCATTGTATACGTAGCAGAGACGTTCATAGCCCTTAATTATTTAATTAAACTCGACCCAGGCCCGCATTAAAAAATTTTTATAGGTGTAGGCTTGTTTCGGCTTATTAAAATCAAATTCCTAAACCAGGTTCAACCCCATATTAAGTTTCAAAATATTTTCTCAAGCTCGGCCCATTACCATTTCAAATAATTTAATTTATTATATTTATTGTTAACAAATAATATTTAAATTTATTTAGGCGATAATTTTGTTTCCAATACTGAAATTTTTATTAGAAGAAATAAATTGTAATACTAATTTTTTTTAAAGTTAGTAACTATTAAATAAGCAAAATTTAAACTTTATAATTAAGGCCTAAACCCACCCCAAGCACATTAAAAAAAAATTTTTTTGAAGCCCAAACTCGCTAGAAAATATATTTATTTTTCGCCGGCCCGGCCCATTCAGGTCCCTGATATATAGTGGGATATCTGATTGGTACGATTTAACAGCTGGTCAATTTTTAAAATCTGCATATGATTAATTTTTTTTTATTAATTAATTTTATCTTTAATTCAATTCATGATAATAATATTGATATTGGATAAGGAAAAATTTTCATAGCGGATTGTAAAAATCTATCAGCTGTTAAATCGCACAGGATAGTATATCACAATGGCAGCCTTAATTTAACTTCGCATTTCTAAGTTTTTATAAAAGAATGTATTTCAAGAAATCAGGTGACCTTGCTGAATCTTATTATATACTCGACACTGATTGGATAAAAAATATGATTAAAATTTTTTTTCAAATGTAGGTAAATTATTCTGCACACAAATATCAATGCCGCACACATATTACCCTTCAGATAATTGCTATTTACCCCAGATAAACAGGTATTTTTTTCCAAACCCTTATATCATCTAAATAATTAAATTCTTAATTTCTTTTTTAATGAATAATTTTTTTTTTCAAAATATAATGATAAAATTTTAACTTTTATATAAAATTTCAAGCAATCAATTGTCCCCTTTTTACTCAAGTATGAAATATGCTAGAGACCCGCAGACTAATGTTATATAACTTTGGCCAATTTTAGTCAAGTTTTATTCCAATAATATTCATTTCATTCTTCAAAGAGGTTTAAGTCAATTCTCAAGGTCAAATGTTTGACTAAGCTGCAATATAGCTAGTCAAACTTAGGTAATTTAACAATACTAATGCAAACTTTACCGAGAGAGGACATTAAAATGATAAATTTTAAAAATTCGGGCATGGCTTAAAAGTTTAGAAAGAAGAAACGGGAGATGGGCTGGGCCATGCTTAAAAAATATTTTTATTACAAACTTCGATGATTTAAAATTTATTATTTTATATTCATATTAATTAATTAGTTCAGAAAATATTGTAAAATTATTATATTATATTTATTTTTGGTTCATATTATCAATCCCAAAATTATTCAAAATAACGAGATTTCCAGTTTGGGCATAAGATTTTAACTTTTTTAGGTATTTGATTTAATTTTTGGTATGATTTTAAAAATATTTACAGTTTATATTAACTTTATATATTTTTTAAAAATATTTACAGTTTTTATATTAAAATTTCTATATTTTTAAAATTGAATATATTTTTCAAATGATGTCATATTAATTACTATTATATCGTCTGCGTCTTATATTTTAGATCTAACTATTAGTAATATTAAGTTAATTTTTGTAATCAGAAGATAAATTTTTTAACCCACCCAGTTATAGTTATGATAACATCATGTAAAAGATTAAGAGTTTCGAAAAAAGGATTTAAGGAGCGAGATGATAGAAAATATACTGAAATAAATTCTATAAGATGCGAAAATGATGTAATGTCTGTTGAAAAATTATCTCTAAATACTAACGAATCATTGACCAAGGATTATACTTCTTTAGAAAAACTAAATAAAATTTGTATCGTAAACGATGAAAAATATACGTTGCCTGTATCGGAAGATTTATTAACATTTGCGCTCAACGATTATTTTGAACGACAAAGGTGCGATGACGATGAAAACAATAAATTATATAGCTTGGGTAAAAATTATATTCCGAAAAATGAGTTAGCTAGTTCAACATTGTTTTCGGAGTTTGACTCCAAGGCTTATAAAAATGCTTTTTCGGTTTTACATGGGGATACTATATTGAATCAACTTCTAGATCTTGAGAATAATGAAGAAGAAAATGTTGGCATACCCTATTTAAGAGGGAGTAATCTCGAGGGAAAGAAAATCTGTTACAGTTTTGGTACCGGATTATATTATAAGGTGAATGAAAATAAAAATTATTTTAATCTTGATATGGACATTTTTTCAGCTATGGATTGTCATAAATTTGCGAGCTTTTCCGAGGAACTTTTATGTGCAGCCAAAAACGATAACGATTATTTTAATGATTATGGGGAAACTTGTCATATTAATTACGATAAATATTTTTTGTGTGACAAAGAAAATATAATTAATGACAATGAATCCCTCTGTAATAAAATTATTTATGACGCGAATTCCCATAATGTCCTAAAAAATTTGACTGAAGATAGAGATTTTATTAATCCATCACTTGAGGATAAAGTTAACGAGAATACAAGTAATAGTGAGGATTGGAATCATCCATTAGATTTATCATTCCCCCGTAATTCGATTCTGAGTTCACTTGACGATTCATATTTAAATATTGACAAGATACATACCAATGATCAAATTATAATAAACGCCGAAGCATTAAGCAATCAAATGTCGGATGAAACAAGAGATTCCGATTTTGAGCTTCTAAAAAATTTGGTAAGCAATAAAAGCAATATCCTTCACCTCCGCACCGATAATGGGAGGGTATCAGATCAAGTTCTCGAAAATGGGGATGAGGAAATTTCGAGTACTAAGGTGACATTTACCAATAAAAACACCCGCAACTCTCTTGGAAAAACCGCGACATTAAAAAATAGGCAGATGAAGCTAATAAAATTTGAAAAAGGTAGAAATAAAATATCTTTAGATTCGAATAAAGAAAATAAACATTCAAACATAAATAACCTTAGTGATTCGACCATAAACACTTCAAATGATAATTTAATCAATTATAAAAGGTCTAACAAGAAGATAACCCCTTCCCGGAATATATTTCAAGATAGTAAATTTTCAATACGTAATGAGTCAAAATTTCAAGAACCCGTCTATCAAGATGAAAAAGTGCTAGCCTGCGAACTTTCTGAGAAACTCTTCGAGACTATAAAAGGTTTACAAAGACATGTTAAGGTTATTCATCACAAGATCAAAGATAATTTGTGCGAATATTGCGAAAAATCATTTGGTCGAGTGGCTAATTTGAACAGGCACATGAAAACTGTTCATCACAAGATCAAAGATAATTTGTGCGAATATTGCGAAAAATCATTTGGTCGAGTGGCTCATTTGAACAGGCACATGAAAACTGTTCATCACAAGATCAAAGATAATTTGTGCGAATATTGCGAAAAATCATTTGGTCGAGTGGCTGATTTGAACCAGCACATAAAAACTGTTCATCACAAGATCAAAGATAATTTGTGCGAATATTGCGAAAAATCATTTAGTCGAGTGGCTGATTTGAACCAGCACATAAAAACTGTTCATCAAAAGATCAAAGATAATTTGTGCGAATATTGCGAAAAATCATTTGGCCAGGTATCTAACTTGAACAGGCACATAAAAGTTCATCACAAAATATAATAACATTGACAATATTGCACCGAATTCTTCTCCGGGAAACATTCTCAAAATAACGCATATTGAAATAGAACATTAAAAAAAAAAATTTGAGTTTTCCTTGGTAAATATATAATTTTTGATTGGTGGGTAAACTTTTAAATCCTTCTAATATTTATAACTATTTCAAAAAAAAACTTCTTATTTTAAAAAAATGAATAAATAAGCTGGTCAAATATTGTCTTTTATACTCGTTTTTTTAAAAATAATAACTTTTATCTGTTCCCAGTTTATGAATAATTATTGTAGTTTTGAATTTAAATAAATTTATTTTTTAATCACGAATATTCCATTCTTAATACCTGTTAAAATTGTTTTAAAAAAGAGAAGCATTTTAATCCAAAAAAATATAATTCTTCCAACCAAATTTTTTTAATATCCTCAAGGAAGTAGTAACTTCATCAGAAAATGCGAGTGTAGGTATATAATATACTGTATCCTGCGTTGCAAACGCAAATTATGCGTTTCATGGATATCGTGTAAATTGGCCAAATTACCGCGTGAGAAACCATTTTTTTTAAAAAAAATGCAAACTAGTTTGTTTTTTTCCAATACTTTTTTATTCGATCATCCATTTCACACTTAGAAATTCCACCATTTCTTTAAGAACTTGGTTTTTTTTTGCAAGAATTCCAGATAAGAATAATAAAGGAGAGGGGACTAAGATAATAATATAAAATAACCGAGGCACGTTGAGTACATGGGACGTCCACTCCAAATATAAATTAAGTTGTTCATCTATAGAAATAAAAATTTAAGCCTAATATGGATAATTACGTAAACACATGATTGGCTAAAGAAAAATAATAAGTATTTTAAATTTTACCGAGGAAAATGTGGCTCTTAGAATCTTAATAAATAAGTTTTAAAAGTTTAAACCCTATTTAATCTGGCAATTTTTTAGAATCACAAAAGATTAATTAATATGATTATAAATGGTATTTATAAAGCTAGAAGGTTATATAACATGGTTGGTCATAGATGGTTGGTTCTATTAACTAGTGCATATTTATTTTGATTAAATTAATATTTGTCAATCTAAAACATTAATTTTTAATCTAGTATATAATATTTGTTTTTTTTTTACAAAAATTCCTAAAATCTTATAAAATCTCTAAATTCTATTTATACTTAATTATTGCGTATAATAAATTAATATATAAGCCTCTTGTATTATAACAATATCATAAAAAAAATTTAATTTTACACTTAAACCTCTCTTTTATGTGTGTACCAACTATCACTTATAGGTGTCCCAACGAACCCAGAGTATGGTGTTGGGATTCAATTCCGAAAAAGTATAATTTTTATTTTATATATATATATAATTATTTCAAATAGCCTATTCTTTTAAAATTCAGAATTATTTATTCATATTAGTCTAATATTACTGAATATATTCAGGTCTGAACAAAAAGTGCTCCAACCTGATCTCCCTCATATTTTAAAATGGAATATTTAGAAAATAATTTACAAAAAGCCTATTCTTTCATAACTCAGTTTAAATTTTTAATGGACGATATACTAATAAAGCGGCATCCTCAGTTGAAACATGAGATACGTTCCGTTTTTTTATTATTAAAAAAAATGTAAGACAGAACTTAAGCCCTCGATTTGTGCTATTATAGTGCCTCAATGACTCTCACCATTTGACCATATAAGTTCAAAGTCAGCAATAATCCATATTGGGTAAAGAAAAGCTTTTTATTAACGAGAGCTATTTAAAGTAGTATCCAAATAGAAAAATTTTGGGCCCCCGATTGGAATTGAGTTTTTATCCGGCTCAACCAAATTTTATACCAACTTGACCAATTCCCAATTTTTTACTTAAGTTCCCCGCCCCAGCCCCTTATCATTAAATACAAAGTTTAACCTAAAATATATGTAGTTGAATTTCATAATATAGAACTATTTATAATATTAGGGTTACTACACTTTATGTATTATCGCTTTCTATCAAATATTAGAATTTTATAATCCAGCCCAATTATTCTTTGACCTGGCCTGGTCCGTTAATTTTTTGCCAGGTTCGGCATAAATAAAAATATTTTAAACGTTTGCCCATGGAGCGAGCATTGCAAATCTCTAATTTGAATCAAGCTGTAAGATCAAAGAGTGTTTTATTTAAAAAAAATATCCACGTGATTGTAACATTTAGAAAATATACATACTTATTAACTATAAATCTCCCTAAATAATTATTGCCAAATTCATTCTTAAATAAAAAATAATAATAAAATCTCATATGCCCCTCTATTTCAAGGAGGGAGGAACATTTCCCCCTATAAATTCCCGAAGCTCAGTAATCAATTCCCCCGTTTAATTTGAAACCTAATGTGTCCTTCTTATTTGTTTATCATTTAACTTCTATTATTTGGCTTAGAATTAAAAACTGAATCGCTCAGAATTTTTTCCTTTTCTCAAAATTAAAAAAAATAAAATACCTATGCTCTGTCCTGGTGAGACTTGTTTTTGATACATTATACTGATTTTAGGCTAAACAAGCTACTGAACTAGGACACTTTATTTCAGTTTGTTATAAATGTTTAGTAGCATTGTTATTTTTCCTATTTTTTTTCTAGTTTTTTCTAGTTTTTTTCCTTTTTTTCTTTCTTTAACTTTTTAGGCCGTTTAGTAAAAGTTGAACTAGGACAAATTCTTAAAGATCAAAATGTTTACAGAATTTCAAGGATATTTTTTTCTTAAAATTTAAGACTATTTTCTGGGAGTTTCATATATTTTTCTGAACTATTCATTTTTCCAATTTTAGTATTATATCTGAGAAAGTTATTATTTTTTTCCCGAGCAATTAATTATTTCTGAGGATAGTATTTCATCTGAAATTTCAATATTTCCTCTGAGCGATAAGTATTTATTTTGATGGCTGTGTCCTAGGACCCACTCAATTTGGATACTTGACTTCTTTTTAGTACAGGCTAAAAGGTTTTGAACAAGACACCCTATTTTGGTTTATTTTAAGTCTTTGGTGTCATTGTTATTTTTCGTATTTTATTCTCATTTTTTATCTTCCCTTTTTTTTGTTTTTTTCGTTTTATTTAAAAAAAAATATTCTCCTTTGCTTTTTTGGCTAATTAGCCGATTATTAAGTATTGACATAGGACAGGGCCTTAAGGATTTTTGTTTCTGAGCATTTCAGTTTTTCTTTGATATCTATCGTACAACTCTTTCCCATTTCTTAACTTTAGGAAATATAATAAACAAATATTCTAGTCGTTACTTATGACAAAATATGAAAATAATTTTTATTCATACTGACTGACCATACAAGCAAATTATAAAGTTAAATTTTTGTTTTAAATCTAATTTTCTTAAGAGGCTCCAAAACCAAAACTTTAGTTATTTTTTCAATTTATGCCTACAATAGAATAACTTAGGGATCATTTCAACCCCGATAAAGTATTATTTTAAATGCGAAAGAACGATAATAATATTCGAAAAATGTGCTTTACCTCAGCGCAAGTAGAGACTAACTTTAATTTTGCCATCGTATATATAGCAAAACCTGTCTTATTTGGGCGCCGTTGGGATCCAATATTTTTGCCCAACTTAGACATCTGCCTAATTTAAAGACATTTTCGAATACATAGGAGTTAATATTTGATTGGGACTCAAAATATTGGTTAAAATGGAGACATTAATGTATATCCTGAAATTCTTAGCCTATATTATCTCTTACGTTTCTAAGTTCCTGTTCATTTTACAGTTAAAAATCTAAAAAAATAAATAATGTTTATATTTTCGCGGTGAAAAAACAAATTAAAGGCATAAGGAAATTTTAAATTTATTATTTAAAATAATTTTTCTTTTCTGCTATAATTCAAAATAGAATATATATATATATATAATTATTCTGAAATAGGGATGCATTGCAATTGATACATAAAAACCTTTTACATTTCCCAAAAATCATATTTAATAAATAAATAAATTGTAATTTTGGATATGCCTCCCTCTCACAACTCTCTAGCTATGTGTATAAATATATTTTAAGTTTTAAGTGATACTTTGTATTTAAAATTCTATATAAATTTTCAAGAACTTGAGAATATTATAAGAATATTAAATAAAAAAAATGAAAATAAATGTCATATTCATCAATCGCTATATGGATGTAACTGAGCAGGGAATCTACCCTTTCATATAAAGGAAAATTCCTGGAGATTTTGATCATGGATGGCTGTAATTTACCAATTCTCGATGCTTACATAAGGGATTTTTTATTAACAACACTAATTTTACCACATTGTTAAAATACGTAATTATTAATGCTTATTTTTTATGATTTGAAATTGTCATTTTTATAAAAACCAAATGTTAAATGAGAATTAGTAAATCAAAAATATTAATTTTTGAACCTAGTTTTAATCAATCAACTAATTAAATTCTTGAAATGAAGTGGCCAAAAAGTAGAGGTATTATAAATTGAGCAAAAACTATTTTTTTTTAAATATAAAACTATATTAACTTTTAAATTTAATCTTTAATCTTTAATAGCACGTGGTCATAGACCTGCCCAAATGTGAGCGTACGTGAATTATATGAAGGCCCTTCCTTCATATAATTATGCCGATTTTTTTACTCAAGGATACCAACAAACCTTGTAACCCAGAGGTAAAAGTAAAAAAAGGGTGGGACTACATCCCAGCTATTTGTATATGGTATATGTTAGTACTGAGTATAGCAAAGGAAAGGAAAGAATATAAGAATAGGAAAAGTTCCTTCTTCAAAAAATAAATAAAAAAAATTAGAATGTTTACAAATTTAAATAAAAATAATTTTTTTCTTAAAGTTATAAGCGTTAGTGGTAAAAATTAGTGTTATTAAAAAAGGCCCCCGATTTGGGTCTAAAATAATGTTATTTAAGCATCTAGATTTGACAAATAGAGGCCTATGCCTTACAGCCAACTATGAGTAAAATCTTCAAGCTTACATAGTATTATTTT